GGAAGCCGCGTGCAGTGCGTAGCCCGCGCGTACTCCGTGGACGGCGACGCAGGCTTGGAACTGGCCTCGGCGCCCACTAGCATAGCGCGGGAGGGGGGGCTGTGTCCTCCTAGGTACGAGGGCACGTTCGGCGCCGATCCCTTCACGGCAAAGCTGCACTACACAGGTGAGAGGCGTCGTAGGTTTGCATTATATTGGTGTACTGTGGGAAGGGACTCGAATCGCATCGATATGATCCGTTGAATGACATTTATTGACATCGGAATAATTTCCAGGAAATAGAGGAAAAGAGAGAGAGAGAGAGAGAGAGAGAGAGAGAGAGAGAGAGAGAGAGAGAGAGAGAGAGAGAGAATCGTAAACACACGCATCCCTTTATAACTGTTTTGGAACTTCAACGAAAGAATAAACACTGACATAAACACACACATCCCTTAAACTACTTTAAAAATACTACAACGAAAAAAACAACAATCAAAACACAAACACACAAAACCCTTTACAACTATTCTTTCTCCCCTACATTCCTCCCCTCTCCCCCTTTAAACCCGCAGGACCTGACGACGAGGACCTCCCCAACCTGGTCCGCGTCGAGGTGGTGATTCCGCACAGGGACGGCATGATCCCCGTCCTCTCGACACGCGCCCTCACCAACTTCGAACTCACGCTCTCCAGGGACGGCATCAGGATAGGGAATCACCGCTGCTCCAATCTGCTGGATTTCCATGAGGTGAGGGGGTCGATTTTTTTGGTATGGAGAGGAAAGTTTTGGAGGTAAAAAAAGGCGTCTTTTTGAATATAGGAAGATTTAAAGGTTGATGATTTTTTTTTGTGTATTGTGTATTTGTAGAATAAGAAAAAAACGATATATAGGAAGGCTTAATGATTTCAACAGAGAAATAATTCAGTAATGCAATGAAAAAACATAAAACTAAGTAAACATAATTTAATGATCTAATTTACCCAAAACGTCAAATAAACAACAAAACAAAACTTTAAACACAACTCCCCCCAACCCCAGCCACCAAAAAACCCCGAAAAAATAGAGGAAGAAAATAAGAAAAACACCAATAATTTACTAATCTACATTTTTTCCCCCTTCTCTCCAGGTGCGGACCGAGCATGGATTTTTGACCAACGAGACTCGAAGTTCCCGACTGGTGGATGAAGTTGAACCTTACCAATATTCTTCTGATCTCCGAAGTCCTGCAACGTTGAGGTGAAGATTCTTCTCTTTTTTTCAGGCTTTGTTGCTTCATTTAACTTCGTGATTTTGATGTTTGTGTGTTCGTCTTGTTGGGTAAAGATGGGAAACGGGATTGTGGTAGCGAAGGTTTCGGATTAAATGGATATTTTGTGGATGTTTATATATGTAGTATAACTTAGCCTTAGTCAGACCAAGTCAAGGCAAGCCAAAGCAAGCTAGGCCAGCTCAACTACACCTAACCTACCCTGACCTACCCTATCTTAACCTAACCTAACCTAATCTACCCTAACCAAGCCTAGCCTAACCTAAACTACCCTACCCTACCCTACCATTCCCTACTTACCCTACCATACCCTACCCTAATCTACCCTACCCTACCCTACCCTACCCTACCCTACCCTACCCTACCCTACCCTACCCTACCCTACCCTACCCTACCCTACCCTACCCTACCCTACCCTACCCTACCCTACCCTACCCTACCCTACCCTACCCTACCCTACCCTACCCTACCCTACCCTACCCTACCCTACCCTACCCTACCCTACCCTACCCTACCCTACCCTACCCTACCCTACCCTACCCTACCCTACCCTACCCTACCCTACCCTACCCTACCCTACCCTACCCTACCCTACCCTACCCTACCCTACCCTACCCTACCCTACCCTACCCTACCCTACCCTACCCTACCCTACCCTACCCTACCCTACCCTACCCTACCCTACCCTACCCTACCCTACCCTACCCTACCCTACCCTACCCTACCCTACCCTACCCTACCCTACCCTACCCTACCCTACCCTACCCTACCCTACCATTCCCTACTTACCCTACCATACCCTACCCTAATCTACCGTACCGTACCGTACCCTACCTACCCTTCCCTACCCTACAATACCCAACCCTAAATTAACCTAACCTAACCTAACCTAACCTAGCCTAGCCTAACCTAACCTATTCTAACCCAACGCAACCCATTTCTACACCCTCTTTATCATGCTTTTAAACTGACAACAGATTCTACCGCGCCCTGGACCTGGAATCCTGCCTGTGGCGCTGGGTCGGTCACTTCACCATGTCCGAATTAGTGACGCAGTGCGGGGGCGTCACCACGACCGACGGGCAGGTTCTAGACGTCGTGCAGAGTTACGTCAGCGTCGTCGTTCCTCTCTACGTCTCCTACATCTTCCATTCTCCCGTGGCGACCGGAGGCTGGCAGCACACCGATCTCACGACGCATCTCAGGTCACTTGGTCGGCGCTTTTATGGGGGGGTGAAGTGGGAGGATTTTTTTTTTTCGTGTGTGTGTGTGTATGAACTGTTCATGGGTCTTTTTTATTTGTTTTGTAAATTATTAGTTTTGGTTTGAGAGAAAGGACTGTGTTAGGTAATTCGGTAAGGCGTGTTCGGGTTCTTTGGTTAGGTTTGGTTATTGTAGGTCGGTGTCAGGGTGAGAATGTGATTAAGGAGAGAGAGAGAGAGAGATGGATAGGTAGGTAGGTAGATAGATAGATAGAAAGAGAGAGAAAGAGAGAGAGAGAGAGAGAGAGAGAGAGAGAGAGAGAGAGAGAGAGAGAGAGAGAGAGAGAGAGAGAGAGAGAGAGAGAAAGAGAGAGAGAGAGAGAGAGAGAGATAGAGATAGAGATAGAGATAGAGATAGAGAGAGAAAGAGAAAGAGAGAGAGATAAGCAAATAAATAAATAGGTAGAGAAATAAATAAATAGGGAGACAGACAAACAAACAGTTAGACAGGCAGGCACACAAAAAAAGACGACAAAAAGTCAAACAGACATACACATAGACACAAAAAAACGATAAAAAGACAAACACACAGACACAAAAAAACGACAAAAAGACAAACACACAGATCACGACACAACAAAAACAAATAAATCTATCTCCTCCTATCCTCTCCCATCTCAAACAACCCTCTCCCTCCCTCCCTATCCCCACAGGCTGAGCTTTGTCTACGACACCTCTATCCTCTGGCACCAGGGAATAGGAGCCCCCGCCACCAGTGAGCTCGACGGACACCTATATCCTACGGCCATGAGGATAAGGGAGGACGGGCGTCTCGTGGTGTCCTTCCGCACCGAAGCGAGGTAAGAAGGATGAGCTTAGGATTGTGTTTGGGAATGTGATAATGTTTTTTTTAAGGGTTGTGGGTGGTTGCAGGATGTTTAAAGGTGTTTAAGGGATGTTTAATGGGTGTTGAAGGGTTTAGAGAATGTTAAATATGTCTAGGTGATGTTATATATGTCTAGGTGATGTTAAATATGTCTAGGTGATGTTAAATATGTCTAGGTGATGTTAAATATGTCTAGGTGATGTTAAATATGTCTAGGTGATGTTAAATATGTCTAGGTGATGTTAGATATGTCTAGGTGATGTTAAATATGTCTAGGTGATGTTAAATATGTCTAGGTGATGTTAAATATGTCTAGGTGATGTTAAATATGTCTAGGTGATGTTAAATATGTCTAGGTGATGTTAAATATGTCTAGGTGATGTTAAATATGTCTAGGTGATGTTAAATATGTCTAGGTGATGTTAAATATGTCTAGGTGATGTTAAATATGTCTAGGTGATGTTAAATATGTCTAGGTGATGTTAAATATGTCTAGGTGATGTTAAATATGTCTAGGTGATGTTAAATATGTCTAGGTGATGTTAAATATGTCTAGGTGATGTTAAATATGTCTAGGTGATGTTAAATATGTCTAGGTGATGTTAAATATGTCTAGGTGATGTTAAATATGTCTAGGTGATGTTAAATATGTCTAGGTGATGTTGGATATATCTAATTAATGTTAAATATATGTAAGTGATATTAAATATGTCTAAGTGATATCAACTATGTCTAAATGATGTTAAAATGTCTAATATATGTTAAGATTATGTTAATTAAGGATGTCTAGATGATGTTAAGGATATCAAAAATGTCTAGATGATGATAAGGATGTTAAAACTGTCTAACTGACGGTAAGAATGTCTTATTGATGTTAACGGTGTTAAAATTGCCTAAATGATGTTTCTGACTCTCTGAACCTGATAATGATTTCAGACTTCATTAGGCTACATTTTACACACAAACACAAACATGAGACATTCAATACAAACTTGTACAAAAGAAATGACAAAGAATTCTCTCATCTCTTCACATTTCACTTTCAGATTCCGCGGAATTTTCGTGAAGACGCACCAGGCCGTGACCCAGCGGAGTTCCGTGACCTCTGAGGAACACCCTGACCTGACCTTCACCCTCGACCTGCTGAGATCACAGCCGACATACGCACAGCCGGAACAGCAGTGGCAGTTTGTGTCCGATTTCGCGGTGAGTTCTGTTGTTATACAGTTTGTAAATTTTGAGTACTGCTGTTACGTTCGTTTGAAGTGATTTGTACCTTTATTGCTGTTTTGTGTTGGATTTAGTTATTATTATCATTTTTATTATTACGATTCTTGTTATTGTCGTTATTCTTATAAGGATTATTATTACAATTTTTCAACCTGAATTTGATCACTATGAATGCCATCATCGTCATCGTTATACACACTATCATCTTCCTAATCACAAAATCATCGGTTTCGACCATTACCGCCACTCTAAGCACTCTAATTACCACAATTAGCAAGGTATAAACTCACTATTATGTTATCGTAACTATTATGTTATTATATATATCGATGTATGTGTGTTCTACATACTTGCGAGAATTATCATATATTCTATATTTACTCTACCCACAGAAGTTTACTTTTATGTTCAATTTATTATGTCATTAATACTTTTATTCATTAATTTCATAAAAAACAACTCATAAGTAAGACTTTCCTTCGACCTTCAACGAACACCGAATTATATATATATTTTATATATAAGTGAACGACGAAACTCATCCTTGTCTCACCTTCACCCTCCCCTTCTGCAGGTACGCGACTACAGTGGTCGTTACAAGGTCCTCCTCCTTCCCTGCACAGTGACGGAGGACGTGGCTTACTCACTGCCTCTTCTGTGTAATCCGCGGGAAGCCGTTGAGTTCGATCTGCAGGTAGGAGGATGTGAAATTTTTTTTACTTTTTTATTTTAATTTTTCATTTTCTATTTTTTTTTTTTTTTTTTTAGGATTCTTCATATACTTTTTTATTTGGTTTAAGGGGATTTTGTGGGAAGTGGAAGTGATAGTTAATAGGATATTTTTTTCCCGAACACGAATGATTCACTCATATCTTCATCCTTTGTTATTTGTTATTGAATATTCCAATTTGCCACTTAACCATTCAACCTTTCACCCATCCACCCACCAATTCATCCACCCACTTACCCACCATACCCATTAACACATCCACCCACCCATTAACTCATCCACCCACTCAACCACCCACCACCCACCCATTAACACATCCACCCACTCACCTACTCACCCTACCCATTAATGCATCCACCCACTCAACCACCCACCCACTCACTCATCCATTAACGCATCCACCCACTCACTCATGCAACTCATCCACCCACTCCACCATCCATTAACGCATCCACCCACTCACCCATTAAAGCATCCACCCAGCCACCCATTAACGCATCCACCCACTCACTCATGCACCCACCCACCCACCCACCCACCCAACACCACCCACCCACACACTCAACCCACTCAGCCACTCACCCACCCACCCATCCACACACCCACTCAACCAGTCTAACGCCTCTCTCCCACTCGCAGGTACGTTTCCAACAGGTATCCGATCCAGTACCTGAAGAATTCACACTTAGCACTATCTTCCACCTGATGCGCAGAAGGGAGCTCTGGCTGTCGGATCTCACGACTGACTTCGATACTGAATCTGACGTCTCTTTTTATCCTGGTTCGTTTATTTGTGTGTGTTGATGTCAGTGTCAGTAAAGAGATTTTGTGTATTTTGATTTTATTTGTAAAAATCTGTTCTGTTTTGTTTTAAGTATTAGTTGTATGTATTTTTTATGTATATTTTTTTTTCTGTTTGTTATAGCTGATTGATTTTGATATGTCAGTGCAATAGAGTCCTTGTCTGTATTATTGTGTATAGAATTGGTTCTGTTTATTATTTTTTTTGTTTGTTACTACTGTACTATTATCATCTTTAAATTTTCGTTTCGATTTCGGTGTAGGTGGGTGTGTATGTGCATAACTGGGCTTTTTTTTCATTATATCCATGTACTTAGTTCTATTTTTTTCAACTTCATCTTTACCCCCCCCCCCCTCTCTCTCTCTCTCTCTCTCTCTCTCTCTCTCTCTCTCTCTCTCTCTGTCTCTCCCTCTCCCCCCCCTCTCTCTCTCTTTCTGTATATATATATTATTAACCTTCTCCTCCTTTTTTAACGCCGATTTATTTATTCCTTTATTCCTTTGCTTATTTACCTATTTGTTTATTCATTTATCCCTTTGTTTATTTATCTATTTATTTATTCATATACCTATCCAGGCGAGCGCATCTACGGTCGCGTGATGATCAACCCCGTGCAAGCGCTGGGCGTCGGCTTCCACGTGACTCTGGAAAAGTGTTTCATCTGCACGGGCGTGGACGGGTACGTGCCGAAGTACAACCCGGCCAGCGATGAGTACGGCTGCGTGGCGGACTCCCCTAACCTCCTCCACAACTTCAAGATCATTGTGAGTTCATTCACCCACTCACTCACCCACCCACTCATCCACTCACTTGGAAATACGATAGGTGCTTCCAAGAGGAGTGAGAGGAAGTGTATCTGTCTTTAGCATTCGTTGTTGGTTATATGTTACGTATTCAGGCTGTCAGTGTGTTAAAGAAGATATAAAAAATCCGATATATGATGAGGAAAAAAATAACACAGCCATTACAAAACTTGTAAAAAAAGACTTGGAAAAACATAGCCATGATCTTATTAAAACCGAGGACTTAGATTTCCTTCTCGTCTTTCCCGCCATCCCAGGACAAAGGAGCGCCAGACTCAGTAAAATTCGAATACCAAGGGAAGGCCTTTAATGCTCGCCTCGCTGTTGAAGACGGTGAGCCTGACGTCATCGCCCTCCTGAACCAACCCGGTGCTGATGGTTTTTCTCTGGATTCAACGCCACTGTTCGAGGTATTTGGGTGTTTCGATACTTTATTCGTGGAGGGTTTAGTATAGATGATGTAAATCCTATTCGATACTTTATTCGTTGAGTGTTTGGTATTGATGCAGTACATCTTATTCGATAGCTTATTCGTAGGGTATTTAATATAGATGATATAAATTCTATTCGATACTTTATTCCTAGAGTGTTTGGTACTGATGCAGTAAAGCTGATTCGATACTTTGTTCGTAGAGTGTTTAGTATAGATGATATAAATTCTATTCGATACTTTATTCGTTGAGTGTTTGGTATTGATGCAGTACATCTTATTCGATAGCTTATTCGTAGGGTATTTAATATAGATGATATAAATTCTATTCGATACTTTATTCGTTGAGTGTTTGGTATTGATGCAGTACATCTTATTCGATAGCTTATTCGTAGGGTATTTAATATAGATGATATAAATTCTATTCGATACTTTATTCGTTGAGTGTTTGGTATTGATGCAGTACATCTTATTCGATAGCTTATTCGTAGGGTATTTAATATAGATGATATAAATTCTATTCGATACTTTATTCGTTGAGTGTTTGGTATTGATGCAGTACATCTTATTCGATAGCTTATTCGTAGGGTATTTAATATAGATGATATAAATTCTATTCGATACTTTATTCGTTGAGTGTTTGGTATTGATGCAGTACATCTTATTCGATAGCTTATTCGTAGGGTATTTAATATAGATGATATAAATTCTATTCGATACTTTATTCGTTGAGTGTTTGGTATTGATGCAGTACATCTTATTCGATAGCTTATTCGTAGGGTATTTAATATAGATGATATAAATTCTATTCGATACTTTATTCGTTGAGTGTTTGGTATTGATGCAGTACATCTTATTCGATAGCTTATTCGTAGGGTATTTAATATAGATGATATAAATTCTATTCGATACTTTATTCGTTGAGTGTTTGGTATTGATGCAGTACATCTTATTCGATAGCTTATTCGTAGGGTATTTAATATAGATGATATAAATTCTATTCGATACTTTATTCGTTGAGTGTTTGGTATTGATGCAGTACATCTTATTCGATAGCTTATTCGTAGGGTATTTAATATAGATGATATAAATTCTATTCGATACTTTATTCGTTGAGTGTTTGGTATTGATGCAGTACATCTTATTCGATAGCTTATTCGTAGGGTATTTAATATAGATGATATAAATTCTATTCGATACTTTATTCGTTGAGTGTTTGGTATTGATGCAGTACATCTTATTCGATAGCTTATTCGTAGGGTATTTAATATAGATGATATAAATTCTATTCGATACTTTATTCGTTGAGTGTTTGGTATTGATGCAGTACATCTTATTCGATAGCTTATTCGTAGGGTATTTAATATAGATGATATAAATTCTATTCGATACTTTATTCGTTGAGTGTTTGGTATTGATGCAGTACATCTTATTCGATAGCTTATTCGTAGGGTATTTAATATAGATGATATAAATTCTATTCGATACTTTATTCGTTGAGTGTTTGGTATTGATGCAGTACATCTTATTCGATAGCTTATTCGTAGGGTATTTAATATAGATGATATAAATTCTATTCGATACTTTATTCGTTGAGTGTTTGGTATTGATGCAGTACATCTTATTCGATAGCTTATTCGTAGGGTATTTAATATAGATGATATAAATTCTATTCGATACTTTATTCGTTGAGTGTTTGGTATTGATGCAGTACATCTTATTCGATAGCTTATTCGTAGGGTATTTAATATAGATGATATAAATTCTATTCGATACTTTATTCGTTGAGTGTTTGGTATTGATGCAGTACATCTTATTCGATACTTATTCGTGGTAGGGTTTAGTATAGATGAGGTAAATCCTATTCGATACTTTATTCGTTGAGTGTTTGGTATTGATGCAGTACATCTTATTCGATAGCTTATTCGTAGGGTATTTAATATAGATGATATAAATTCTATTCGATACTTTATTCCTAGAGTGTTTGGTACTGATGCAGTAAAGCTGATTCGATAGCTTATTCGTAGGGTATTTAATATAGATGATATAAATTCTATTCGATACTTTATTCGTTGAGTGTTTGGTATTGATGCAGTACATCTTATTCGATAGCTTATTCGTAGGGTATTTAATATAGATGATATAAATTCTATTCGATACTTTATTCGTTGAGTGTTTGGTATTGATGCAGTACATCTTATTCGATAGCTTATTCGTAGGGTATTTAATATAGATGATATAAATTCTATTCGATACTTTATTCGTTGAGTGTTTGGTATTGATGCAGTACATCTTATTCGATAGCTTATTCGTAGGGTATTTAATATAGATGATATAAATTCTATTCGATACTTTATTCGTTGAGTGTTTGGTATTGATGCAGTACATCTTATTCGATAGCTTATTCGTAGGGTATTTAATATAGATGATATAAATTCTATTCGATACTTTATTCGTTGAGTGTTTGGTATTGATGCAGTACATCTTATTCGATAGCTTATTCGTAGGGTATTTAATATAGATGATATAAATTCTATTCGATACTTTATTCGTTGAGTGTTTGGTATTGATGCAGTACATCTTATTCGATAGCTTATTCGAAGTCATCCGTATTGCTAATTGAGTATAGATGCTTCTCTTGTTTATTCCACTTGTGTATATTAATAAACTTACTACTATTTACTCACTAGTCAATCAACAATAACGACACGATACCTTATACACGCAGTAAACAACAATAACTCAAACAAAACCCCTTTCAGGATTCCCACTTTCCTCTCGTCCCCTTACTGGTGGCACTGGCGTGTGTGGTGGCAGCGGGGAGCGTGGCGGCGGCGGTGGTGTTGGCAAGGAGACGCCAAGGGAAAGTTTTACCACCGGGGTACATGACTGTGGCTGGCAACGGCACCTCGGCCACCTACAGGAATCGTAACATCGTGGATCCCCGTTATTACCACACTCACGAGGATAACACCGAAGTGTAGTGACGTTGAGTTGTGTATGCGTGTCTATCTTTAGTGGTGTCTAGTGTTTGAGGGAAGGAGTATGTGTGTGTGTGTGTGTGTGTGTGTGTGTGTGTGTGTGTGTGTGTGTGTGTGTGTGTGTGTGTGTGTGTGTGTGTGTGTGTGTGTGCAAGAGAGAGAGAGAGAGATAAGATTAATTAAAATAACAGATGATATCTCTTTGCAATGATATGGCGGAGAAAGGAAGAGAAATAGAGAGATATTCATAAAAAAAACAACAGTTCATAGTTCCTAAGTACAACAAAGAAACTGAAAAAGAGAATAATAGAGAGAAAGAAAGAGAGAAAAAAAATAATAGGAAAAATAGCAGAAATAAAGAAATAGGAGTGGTTGTGATCTGTACAGACGAAAATGGATAATAATATAAAAGATAAAGATAATAAAAACAAGCAAGCAAACAAACAAACTAAAAAGCGATATAGACAAAATGGACTGAAAAGCAAAATAGACAAGAAAAGAGAATTATTATTATTATTATTTTTTTACTTATTCAAGCAAAGTTCGTGTGATGTGAAAATCGGTTCCTTCTCATGACCTCAACAATGCTAATCTATCACTGCCACGTTTGCTCATTATAAGCCTTCCCTTTTTCTTCCGTATAGGATCTCTCAGCTGGGCTTTATATGTACTTAATCCTGTGGGTGGATTGTACTCAGTGTAGGTTTATTATAATGTAACAATTACACGCGAAATCTTATTATTATAGGTTGTACTGTGCTTTCCGTTTTTTGTTTTTTATTTTTTTTTGTATTTTCTATTTCATTTTTACTTTTCTTAGCTGTGTATATTTTTTTCTTGGTTTCAATGTATTGCATAGCATTCATCCAAGAACGTGTTTTTTTTGGTGTATGTTATGTACGTGTTTAACTGTTTAATGATCTATTAACTGTTCTGTATTAATATCCTGGGCTCTTTATATAAGTAGAGTCTTATTAGGACCAATTTCCTACACTCTAGTTGTATTAAAGTACTTCTTCATCGTCAGATTTGTTATATTTCTAACAAACAATCACCTTTGATAACTGAGATCACTATATCAGTTTCTCAACGGCGTCTTGGAGAGACAGTTATCAAATATTTCTAAATGTGGTTTGTAAAAAAAAATATGTGTGTGTTCTGTGAATGGATTTATGAACGTCTATGTGAAATGATGTTCGTATTATGTGTTTTGAGCAGCTTTATACGGATATAAAAATATATATATAATTTGAAAAAGAAAATATGATTTTACTTAACTCCCCAGTAGATGCCCCTTGATCATCATCATCGTCGTCGTCATCGTCATTACCATCTTCTTCGTCAGTAGAACAATAAGCCTACTTGTTTTATTTTTCATTTCAATATATTTCGCTTAATTCACCAAGCCATTCTGACTACTTTACCGTATGTTTTACAGTAAGTCAGTGCTAGTCTCAAGCCCGGGGAAATAGAGTGGGTTGGCTTCAGGAAGGGCATCCGGCCTTAAGAAATAATGGGACAAACCTACAGCAAAAGAAGTTGTTGTTTCTTCAAAGAAATGAATCTGTTACTGTATCTCTATATCTGTCATTACTGTTTATTTATTGTGCAACGCGAATCACAGTTTTTGTTTCGGATTCTCTCCTTTTCTTGCAGTTATCACTGTCTCCATAGCTATCTTCGTCTCCCTCAACCTCTCTCTATATAGCTTTATGCTGTACTGTGCAGACCATCCAATGTTTTTTTTTCTGTTCAATTATCTCCCGTCTATTGAACCCCTTCCGTTCCATGCCCTCTGGTAATTAAATCTGAACAGAATCACTTGTACGGTGCGTTGTGTATTTATAATCTCTATTTCTTTCTTGTCCCGTTTTTTTGTGTCTCCTCTATATCACAGAAAAGCCACATCCCAAGTGAATGATAAAACACTTCACCGCGTTGATACTGTGGTAGAAAAACCCACAGTGCACAAACTAAATTTACTGAAAATCTAGTTTGCGCATTGTGAATTTTTCTACCATATCTCAGTATTTATCTGTCACGATTTTGTTATTTCTTGTCTATTTTGATGTATGATGTGTTATCATTATTTGATTTGCTAAATTTTAAAATTCATTTTCATTCTCATAATTTCCTCACCAGATCAGGTTTCATCTCTAATTCAAAGAGAGAGACAGACAGAGATATAG